CACACACACACACACACACACACACACACACACTCATGCATGCAAACAGCGGTCTATGGAACCCCTCTCTCTGTTGCTTCATTCTCACAAAGCAAAAAAAAAGGAGCACACCGCCGTACTCTGTGGGCTGGATGGCGTTCTGTAGCCTGGGTGGTACTATGTGGGTTGGGGGGTACTACGTGGACTGGGAGGTCTGGCTGCGGGGTAATATGTGGGTCGGGTCATACTATGCGGACTGGATGGTATTATGTGCGCTGGGAGGCACAAAGCGGGGTAGAGGGGTAATGCTACATGAGCCAGGTGGTACAATGGGCACGTGTGTGATGCTATGCAGGCAGAGCTGCAGGACACCCTCACCCCCGACGCTCCCCAAAAGGAGGAGAATCGAAGTGAACTTGCCCCCAAGAGAGAGCACCAATGTTGTTGATGTGTTGGAACCCCTTTGTTTTCCGTCTGGAAGCCCTTTTCCCCATCCACCCAATGCACTTTTTTGGATATAGCAGGGCCCTTCGCTGTGTACTCGTGTGTTTCCCCCTTTTTTTTCAATAAAAAGGGGGATAACCCCTAACATCAGATCTGCCACAATTCGCGCTCATGACCTGTGCACCGTTCCTACAGCCAAAGATACTGTGCTTAACTGCAAAGCCTGCCGAAAGCAATGCCAAAACAACAAAAACGGAAGCAGAGGGAAGTGGAAAAGACACGTCGCAAAACTGCACACACAGGAGCAAACGAAAAAGACAAAAATGGGGATACAATAACAAGAGCAGAGGAGGAAACAATAATGTTAGTTCCAGCCCCACAGTTCCCCACTGTTCGTCTTCCGGCACGCTTCAAGCTCGGTGACCCTGTTACCACCAATGAGATGAAAGGGAACGAAACAACAAACAAATGCCAAAAAACGAGAACACCCCCTAACATTATCCAATGATTACTGTATTTCTCTGATGCCATCACGGCGAACATTCATGTATTCATTTGATTCTGTCACAATTCGATCTAATGACTCTTGAGTCTTTACTAACAGTTACATGTTCTGCTGTCCACCCAAATGGGTCAGCCGTGTTCTATTCGAAGGGCCCTTCCCTGCCTGTTGCCCTTGGGAAACAGCACTCAACACTTTGCCACTTTTTCCGTGGGCCTTACCGGCGCCGTCTTATGGGGCCCGTTTTTTCATACATACAAATATATGCAAACGTTTAATATAATAATATAATATTAATATTTAATATTATTTATTTATTATCATGGACACTTGAACTCGTTGATAAGGCCAGGTATCTCACAATTCCCCGAAAAAGACAAGAAACAGAAACCAACAAAACAAGGAACTTAGCAGTCCCCACGTCTTCTCTATCAACGCCAGTTTACTACATAAATTCCCAGTCCCTGTGGTCATCATCAAAGATCATGGTCATCCCTCCCATCGAACCAGAAAAAAAACAAATTTTCTAATTTTTCATCCATGATCATAACACTTCACAGCACCACACCAAGAGTTTCACAATGGTCTCCATGCGACATTTCACGATGTGGGTCATCATGCTTTCCATATAGCCAGAAAGAGTATCAAGATTGTCTTTGGGATGCTTCTTATCACCACGAGTTCAAAGGTGGTTAACCGGGGGTGTTATTTTCAGCGAATTTTCCACCGAAACTGTCATATCGTGCTGATTTTTTGCTTTTTTGAAGTTTTTTCCTTGTTTTTCTTTTCATGTGATATGCATGTGCTTTAGGATGTGTCATGTGTCCAGTTTTGACATGTTTGGATCAATAATGAAAAAGTTGGCATTTCGTTGAATTCGTTGGACGCTTCATTTTAACTCAGAAAGTGTGTTTGTGTTAGGGTTTTATAGTGCTTTTGTGTTTATTTGCTCATTTTCTTTGCCCTGTTTGTTTTTTTGATGCCTGAACTATGGGCCCATATCCTTTGTTTTTGGAATTTTGCTGAATTTCGCACCGAATTTGTCGACGAAAACGGCAATTTTTTGGCCGTCAGTTAACCATCCCTCGCGAGGACTGGGTGTGTGTGTTCGCAGCCAGGAGGCTGCACTTGTGTGGGTTGCATTTTGCCGTTTCCCCTTCTTTCTACTTCGGGTAAGATCATGCAGTACAAGCAGGGTAGGAAGGGGTTTGTTCAGGTTTTGGAAAGCTGAAAAAGGGTCCGGTCGCAGTCGTCCCTAAGACTGACGGTAAGCTGATTCAGGTCGTAGCGGATAGCGTCAGCGCTTTCCTGTTTTGGAGGAAGAGTGCACCAAGGTGTCACTAATCGCGCTCTGCTTACGGATCCAGAACTCAAGAAATGCACAAAAGGCAGGAATTATGGCGGTGCATCTTTCCATGTTCCAGCGGAAGATTCGTGCTCATTTCACACAATTGCTGATTGCGGGAGCCAGGCCCTCAGCCCCTCCTTTTTGTTCCGTTCCCTTCCCCCCCTTTTCTCTGAACCTTGTTTTTTTCTTCTCTTTCCTAAGCTCCCACCAGCGCGATCAACCCCTCATCTCGGATTCTTCCCCCCCCCCCCCCCCCTCCCCCCCCTCAAAACAGCGACAGCTCTCTTTTTGGCCTGCCCTCCCACAGCGTTGGGCACTGGCCGCCGACTGGTTCAGCAGGGGCGGCTCAAGGTACTGGGGACAAGTTAGGAGTGTAGGAGGGGCTAACACGGATAGTGAGACCTTGCCTCTAGACAGTCCTCGACAAATGCATCCACCATCTAGACGAACAAAAAAAAAAAAGAAGCCAACCACACAAGCAAGCCTAAAGTCCCACCAGACTTTTGCCAGGCCTGCTGTCTACAATATGGAACATGCCACCCGGATGGCTGCGTCCCTGCATGGAACGCGGTATAACAGTGTGTTTGTGCAGGGGGCAAGTGCTTTGGTTGAGAACTTGCACACTGCTGTTGCAGAGTTTCACTGTGTCAGTTGCAATTGGGAGAGTGCCATCATCACATGTAAGTCATCTTTCTCTTCTTCTTCCTCTTCCTTCTTCCTCCTTCTTCCTCCTCCTTCCTCCTCCTCCTCCTCCTCCTCCTCCTCCTTCCTTCTTATTCCTCCTCCTCCTCCTCCTTCCTTCTTCTTCCTCCCTCTTCTTCCTCCTCCTTCTTCTTCCTCCTCCTCCTCCTCCTCCTTCTTCTTCATCCTCCTTCTTCCTTCTTCTCCTCCTTCCTCCTGCTTCTTCCTCCTCCTCATCCCTCCTCCTCCTCCCTCCTCCTTCTCCCTCCTCCTTCTCCCTCCTCCTTCCTCCTCCTTCTCCTCCTCCTCCTTCCTCCGTCTCCTCCTCCTTGTTCATTCTCCTCCTTTTTACTCCTTTTTCCTCCTTCCTCCTCTTCCTCCTCTTCCTCCTCCTCCTTCTTCCTCCTCTTTCTTCCTCCTCCCTCTCCTCCTCCTTCTCCCTCCTTCTCCTCCCTCCTCCTCCTCCTCCCTTCTCCTCCCTCCTCCTTCCTCCTCCTCTTCCACCTCCTTCTTCCTCCTCCTCCTCCTCCTCCTCCTTCTCCTCCTTGTTCCTCCTCCTCCTTATTCCCCCTCCTCCTTGCTCCTCCTCCTTCCTCCTCCGCCTCCTCCCTCCTCCCTCTACTTCTTCTTTTTCTTCTTCTGCTATGCATCTCATACTTTTATTTTGTTTACTCCATTGGTGAATCAACGGGTGGGCGGGCGGGCGGGCGGGCGGGCGGGCGGGCGTGTGTGTGTGTGTGTGTGTGTGTGTGTGTGTGTGTGTGTGTGTGTGTGTGAGTGACTGACTGACTGACTGGCACCAGAACAACCCCTTTTCCACCCAGATGACTAGATCCGAAATTGAAATAGTCTTACCTTACAATCTTGTATCACGTTGTATTTGATAGAGTAAACTGATCGTTGGTGATGCACGGAAGTAACTTAGAGGTGTGGAATTCCGGGTAGGTGTGCAGGTGGTGTGGAATCTCGATCGTGTAGTATGGACCGTCTGCCTCTCCTTTGACATCTAAGACTGGCCATGGTCCCCTATATGCGGGGT